AGCCTTTCCAGGGTCTTCATGATGTGGGAGGTCAGTGCCACGGGCCTGTAATCCTGGGGGCCACTGGGACGAGGCGTCTTTGGTACAGGGACGAGGCATGATGTCTTCCACATCACCGGGACCCTCTGCAGACTCAGACTCAGCATAAACAGTTTATGAAAGACTCCACACAGCTGGGGGGCACAGGCCTTGAGGACAAGGGGACTCACTCCGTCTGGTCCAGCAGACTTGCCTGAGTGAAGTCTCCTCATTTGCATCTCAACCTGGTATTGAGTGAAGGTGATGGGTGGGGGAGGGGTGTCAGGAATCTCACAGGAGGCAACATGTGAAGAGAGAGGCTGGCACAGTGGTGTGGCTCTGGATTCCAGGCTGACTGCAGGTGAGGTTGTGGGGGTGGGAGCAGACACTGTGGTGTCGAATCTATTGAAAAACAGATTCAACTCGTCGGCTCTATTCTCACCTCCCTCAGCTCCCCTGCTGTTGGTTGGCCTGAATCCAGTGATGGTCTTCATGCCCCTCCACACCTCTCTCATGCTGTTCTGCTGGAGTTTCCACTCCAGCTTCCTCCTGTAATTGTCCTTAGCCTCTCTGATCTTGTCCTTTAGTAACACCTGGACCTTCCTCACCTCCTCTTTGTTGCCCCCTCTGAAAGCCCTCTTCTTGTTGTTGAGGAGGGCTTTGATGTCCTTAGTCACCCACGGCTTGTTATTTGGGTAACAATGAACAGTCTGAGCTGGAACAATGGAGTCGGTGCAGAAAGTTATGTAGTCTGTGATACACTCAGTAAGCCCATTGATGTCCTCGGCGTGAGGCTCACAGAGTGTTTCCCAGTCGGTCACCTCGAAACAGCCCTGTAGTTCTGCTATTGCCTCCTCTGACCACCTCCTAACAGTCCTGGTGGTCACAGGTTCCCTCCTCACAATTGGCACATAGCGGGGGGTGAGGTGAATCAGGTTATGATCTGACCTACCAAGTGGGGGGAGGGAGGAGGAGCTGTATGCATCCTTGACGTTAGTGTGGCAGGATGAATGTTATCCCTCGGTCCAACCCACTTTCAGCCTGGCCCATTAGGGGGCGCTGGTATAAATAGTGGCCATTTGAGTGTCTCTGCATTGCTTGCCTGTGATCTCCTTTTTGGTCACCTGACTTCCTCGGTGTGGTAGAGATCGTTTGTGGGTTACTCCTCTAAAGTCTCCATCGCGGCTGGTCGTAGCTATAGAAGCCTCCTCTGAGCTATTCTGCTTACGTTCTGTGACCCGGCTTACTTGGTACGTAATCAACTTTTGTTACGCTCTCTGCCTTCTATTGTTCTTTTATAGTAATTATTTATTATGTTTCGCAGGAAGTGTGGGCCTTAGTTTTGCGCCAAGTTACGTGAACTGAAGTGCTGCTGTTTTGCCTTGCTGTGCTTTTACCGTCTGTTCCCGTTGTGAGAATTCTTCCCTGCTGCTGTCAGCTTTTACAGTGGACGTCGGCGTGGACAACGGCCATATGCATGCCGGTTATCGGAGTCAGCTGGCGTGCATATTGATTGACTGTTAACTTATCGTCGTGTGGACGGCAAGTTGGAGCAGTACGGCGATTCCATTTGCTCCAGATTTTAGAGTTTTATTCAGATTGTATGTGGTTTTATTGCTTTTTGATTTGTAGTTTGGATTCTCTGTTACACCACTGGTGGGAGGCCCTTTTTCTAGCTGTGGATCACCAGTGTGGTCCTGCAGTTGGGTTATCCCCCGGTGCTACACATTAGTTTGTTGTAATATATTAACATTTTCTTTGTTTCTTTCATTCAGATGCGGAGTGCCGACGTGGAGGAGACTAGGGTGCCTTGGTGGTGGGATCCCTTGAGTGTACACACCTGCCTTGTTTAGTTTATTAGTGTGAGTGTGTGTGTGATAGTGTGCTGCACTTGTGTTTTGGGTGTGTTTTCTTTCTTTAGTTTGTGTGTGGCATCCCTGCCCCTCCACTGGTAAGCCTCAGCTCTGAATACCTTTTTAAGCATATTTGTATTTGAATATTTATGATTGTGCTTTTATATGGTGTTTTAAATAATTATTAATAAATTGTGAATTTGTTGATCATTGAACCTCGTCTCTGGACTGAGTATAGCGAACCTAAGTGCCTTTCTGGTGATTTAGTGTTACTTTCAGTATTCTCTGGGTGAAATTCCCAGGGTGGCGTTGTCTTTTTAAAACTGCAAAGAGTATTTACTTTATACCCCATCCTCGTCTCGCCACAAACTTGGCGTTGTCGGCAGGATATACTCTTTAAAACAGAGACGTGTGTTCTTTTTTGTTTGGTGTAACGTAAATTGTTTTTTATATTATTTTGTACAGAATAAAGGCAAAGCAGCAGCTACTTTGGTGTGGGATTTCACAGCTGTGTTACAGAGATGGAGGAAGAGTTACAGGAACTCAGGGACTTGATCGCGCAGCTGAAAGCAGACAATGAGAGGCTGCGTCAGGAGAGGGCTGTTGGGTCAGGTACTAGTGCTACACCTTCTACTTCAACTGCATCATCTGTTAACCCCCCAACGGCTGGTGTCTCTGTAGCAGAGAGACTAGTTTTTGTGCCCCGTGACAGAAAGTGCCCTATGTTTAGAGGAAAATCAGGTATAGGGTTGAATGAATGGTTGGAGGAAATAGAAGGTTGTGCTAGAGCACGTCATTTGTCTTTGGCTGATAAAGCATTTTTCCTGTTTGACCACCTAGAAGGGGAAGCACGTGAGGAGATCAAATATCGCTCTAGTGCAGAGAGGACTGATCCTGCTAAGATAATCACTATATTGCAAGAACTGTATGGCTGTTCGGACTCCTATGTAGCATTGCAGGAAGCTTTCTTCTCTAGAAAACAGCAGGAAAGTGAGACGCTGCAAGAGTTTTCCCTCGCTCTCTTGGGTCTTATGGAGAAAGTTAAATCGAGTGCCCCTAATGGCATGCCCAATGCTGACGTTTTATTAAGAGATCAATTTGTTGAACAGGTCTTAGATAGTACCTTGCGGCGGGAGTTAGAGCAGCTAGTAAGGAGGCAGCCCACACTGACATTGCTGGAGATTAGAGGGGAAGCTATTAGGTGGGAACGTGAAGGGTTGCCTAGTGGCGTTAGGCATAGAAGCAGTTCTGTCCCTTCTGTTTATGGCATTCAGTATGGGGTCCATAGCGGTCCCTCAGGAATAGCTCAGTCTACCCATTTGTCTGAGATGAGCGAGATGAAGGAATTGTTAAAGCGCCAGCAGGAGCAACTTAATCAGCTCACTCAGAGCATTGCTCGATTGCAGGGCCCCCATCGAATGCCTCGCTCAGGACGGGGCGACTCCATTATATGCCGTCGTTGTCAGCAACCTGGACATGTTGCTCGGGAGTGTGATGGGGAACGCGTTCCTCGTTCCCGGCCTCCTCCGCAGGCCCCTCTGCATAATCGCAGGCACTCTCCTTTAAATACGGCTTCGGAAAACTAGCACCCTCCGTATTGCCGAGCCACAGTTCGGGTGGGGTGTCTATTGGCTCAAGGGTTGTTTCTAATGGTCCAGAGGCAGTCTCGAAATTAATTTCATCCTGTCCTCATATAGATGTGGACATGGGCGGTATAAAAGTACCTTGTTTGGTTGATACGGGGTCCATGGTCTCTACCATTACTGAAAGTTTTTTCCGCCAGCATTTTGAGTCCTGGGGTCAAGAGCGTCTCCAAGCTTGTCATTGGTTGCAGCTTAAAGCGGCTAATGGGTTGTCCATTCCTTACCTTGGCTATATCGAGCTAAGTGTAGAGCTCTGTGACAAGTTTCTTCCACAGTGTGGCGTGTTGGTCGTTAAAGATCCTCCAGGTGCAGGACCTTCCACGGTTCCGGGTGTATTGGGGATGAATGTCATTCGGAAGTGTTACCATGAGCTTTTTGGGCAACACGGTGAAGCATTGTTTAGTTTGGGCTTTGTCACAGAGGCCCCTAAACCCCTTGTGCAGGCGCTGCAAAAGTGCCATGACGTTAGTATAAGAGCCCCACTGGATTTGTCTGGCCATGTGAGAGTGAGGGGTAAGCGAGCATGTTGCATTCCGGGTGGTGTAATGAAAGTAGTGGCCGCCACCTGTTCTGAGCAATATTCAGGTGCCACTGTGTTATTTGAACCTACTGATGTTAACTTGCCTGCTGGACTTTCTGTTGGGCAGAGTACCGGACCCCATCAGTGGAGAGGTGCACGAGTGGATTCAGGAGCATCAAGCCCGGCTACAGGTTGTACATGAAGGAGCCAAGGAACGATTGCAATTGGCTGCCGACCGCAGAAAGAGGCACCATGATAAAAAGGTGAAAGAGGCACCATTGAACAATGGCCAGTTGGTGTTCCTGCGCGATCTGAGTGGAAGAGGGAGATGTAAAATCCAAGATCGATGGAAACCCGTGGTATATAGAGTCCTGAAGGCACCTAAAGGAGGTGGGGCAGTATATACCATTGCACCTGCAGATGATCCCAGCAGTGTGAAGCATGTTCATCGTACCTTGTTGAAGGCTGTGGTAACGGCAGCTACACCATCAGAAGGGCCTGCTCCAAGCAGTAGCTCACATGGCCCAGAAATATCCTCTCCAGAACCAGGACATGACTCATCACGTGACAGTGACCTGTTATTCCTGAGCATAGGAGCTCCTCAAGTAAATGTTTCACCATCTTACAGCCCAGTGGCAGTGATTCCAAGTAGCCCTGAGTTGTTGCTTCCACCAGAAGACCGAACTTCCGATGTTCCAGCCACCTGTACAGTTACTCCGAGTGTAGCACCAGTTCCATCTAGCTCTCTTCCTGCTCCCTCTACGAGTTCTGATACAAGAAATGTGGTGGTGCGAAAAACAACCCGGTCCACAGCTGGCCAGCATTCAAACATCCATCATCTCCCAAGACCAACAGGGGAGGTGGCACAAGGGGCTGCTAACTCTATTTTTGAGCCTAGGGTACATGCCGTCTCTGCATTTTTTAGGCCTTGGGACTAATCTGGGTGTTTTTGTAATTCATCGTCGGGGCGACGATGCAAGAAGGAGGGGTAGAATGTGGCAGGATGAATGTTATCCCTCGGTCCAACCCACTTTCAGCCTGGCCCATTAGGGGGCGCTGGTATAAATAGTGGCCATTTGAGTGTCTCTGCATTGCTTGCCTGTGATCTCCTTTTTGGTCACCTGACTTCCTCGGTGTGGTAGAGATCGTTTGTGGGTTACTCCTCTAAAGTCTCCATCGCGGCTGGTCGTAGCTATAGAAGCCTCCTCTGAGCTATTCTGCTTACGTTCTGTGACCCGGCTTACTTGGTACGTAATCAACTTTTGTTACGCTCTCTGCCTTCTATTGTTCTTTTATAGTAATTATTTATTATGTTTCGCAGGAAGTGTGGGCCTTAGTTTTGCGCCAAGTTACGTGAACTGAAGTGCTGCTGTTTTGCCTTGCTGTGCTTTTACCGTCTGTTCCCGTTGTGAGAATTCTTCCCTGCTGCTGTCAGCTTTTACAGTGGACGTCGGCGTGGACAACGGCCATATGCATGCCGGTTATCGGAGTCAGCTGGCGTGCATATTGATTGACTGTTAACTTATCGTCGTGTGGACGGCAAGTTGGAGCAGTACGGCGATTCCATTTGCTCCAGATTTTAGAGTTTTATTCAGATTGTATGTTGTTTTATTGCTTTTTGATTTGTAGTTTGGATTCTCTGTTACACCACTGGTGGGAGGCCCTTTTTCTAGCTGTGGATCACCAGTGTGGTCCTGCAGTTGGGTTATCCCCCAGTGCTACACATTAGTTTGTTGTAATATATTAACATTTTCTTTGTTTCTTTCATTCAGATGCGGAGTGCCGACGTGGAGGAGACTAGGGTGCCTTGGTGGTGGGATCCCTTGAGTGTACACACCTGCCTTGTTTAGTTTATTAGTGTGAGTGTGTGTGTGATAGTGTGCTGCACTTGTGTTTTGGGTGTGTTTTCTTTCTTTAGTTTGTGTGTGGCATCCCTGCCCCTCCACTGGTAAGCCTCAGCTCTGAATACCTTTTTAAGCATATTTGTATTTGAATATTTATGATTGTGCTTTTATATGGTGTTTTAAATAATTATTAATAAATTGTGAATTTGTTGATCATTGAACCTCGTCTCTGGACTGAGTATAGCGAACCTAAGTGCCTTTCTGGTGATTTAGTGTTACTTTCAGTATTCTCTGGGTGAAATTCCCAGGGTGGCGTTGTCTTTTTAAAACTGCAAAGAGTATTTACTTTATACCCCATCCTCGTCTCGCCACATTAGCATACAGTAAGTCTAAAGTTTTCTCTCCCCTGGTGGGACAGTCCACATATTGTTTGAATGTTGGTAGTGTATTGTCCAGTGATACATGGTTGAAGTCACCCGAGATCACAATAAAGGCACTCGGGTGCTGAGTCTGTAGCCGAGCTATGGCAGAGTGGATAGTGTCACATGCAGCTGTGGGGTTAGCAGAGGGGGGAACATAAACAGCCACCAAGATGACGTGAGAGAATTCCCTGGGTAAATAATACGGCCTGAGTCCAACAGCACACAGTTCAGTGTCCGGGCAACAAATCCTTTCTTTGATTGTTATGTTGGCAGGGTTACACCACCGGTTGTTAACTAAAACAGCAAGCCCACCTCCTTTACGCTTACCGCTAGCGATGCTGTCCCTGTCCGCCCGAACAGTGTGGAAGCCTTCCACGGAAGCATTCTCATCGGGAATGACCTGGTGCAGCCATGATTCGGTGAAACACATCAGGCTACACTCTCGGTATTCCCTCTGACTCCGTACCAGTGCTGAGAGCTCGTCGATTTTACTTGCCAACGATCGCACATTTCCCATCACGATAGACGGCAGACACGGTTTAAACCTCCTCCTCGCTTCGAGCCTCCGCTGTCTCACCGTCACCTTTTTTCTTCTCTTCTGTCCTTGACCTCTGCATCCCCGATGTGTTTTCCTCCAAATTTCAGCTGGTACTTCTGCGGGCACTTCTGCGGGCCTGGCCAGCGAGCCGGCCGGCATCAGGGCGATCAGCTGATCTCTGGAGTAAACAGTCCGTGCGTGTAGGAGATGTGCCGCGGTCCCGTTCCATGATAAAAGTAACAGTTCCACGGCCACCAGAAGAACAAAAACTCTCTCAATCCACATGATTGAGTAAGAGATAGAAAACGGAGGAAAATACAAGTCAGAAAAAAAAAGAATACGTAAGAAAAAAGAGCTAAACTAAGAGAAAAGCAGGAGCGACTGTAACAGGCTGCACGCTGGTTGGCGCATGCGCACTTACATATATGTTCACATCTCAAATGTAACTTATTAAACAAAAATCACAGATGAAAAAACAGGCTTCTTACAACATAAAGAGGCCTCTTTATGTTCAGGGTATAATTAGTATTATTTATTCATCTGAACTGTGTGTAGTGGGAAAAACTTTTTTTTTGTAACCATTCATAAAAGACGCAAGTCTCATTTTCAGTCTTAGAATATAAAAGATTTGAATTGATACATTTTTTTTGTTTGTTTTGATGATAACTTATCAATGCAGTGGGCAACTGAACAACAGTGACAGTCTTTCTAAATTATAGATTTCTGTGTGATTACGGCGCCATGTACTACAAACACAACAAGTCCCAATAATGCATAGTTGGCCTAAAATACTGCAGTCTGCTGATGAGAATTAAGAATATACAGCATATTAGTCCCATTTTAGATTAACTTTGGTGGCTCCACTTTGCAGTTTGGGATTGATTTTAAAGTGTTATTGATCACATAAGAAACAGTTTGGACTGGTGCCCAGCCAAAGCTCCCTTGGCAAACTGTTTCAGTCATTTCACGTTTAAGGCTGAAGACTAATGCCGACTTCACAGCAGATGATCCTTGAAGCACTTTAAGAGATTTTAACAACATTAGGACCGATATCTTTGGGGCGCAGAGAGAGAGAGAGAGAGAGAGAGAATATGAAGCAAAGCATCAAAAGCAGTCCTTTTAGTACTGTTATATTCCTTTAATTACATGAGATCCGCTAATATAGATTTTCAAGACCAGCAATTGGCCAATATTGACTGGGTGTGGGGGGGGATCAATACACCATACTATTACTACCGCCATACTAATGTGTGGTAATAGTGTATCAAGTATGGGGTGCAAAATATCAATACTTTATCACATAAATTGCTAATTGCATTAAAGTTGATGAGCTTTTTAATAAAATGAAATATTACTGTCCTGAGATAACAGTAGCTAAAGATAGCATAGCTTGCTTTACAATCAGATGAAACGCCAACCAACACTGGACACACTTTGCTTGGCAAAACCTCCAATCTTGTCTTGTAACTTAATTCTAACTCAATTGAACTTGTTTTTAGTTAAATTTATTTGTAGTTAAATACCTCATCATCTCAAGATAGTTCAGATTTTAAGAGATAAAAACTCTGTTTCTTTATGAAAGAGTATTGGCATCAGTGTCAGAAAATAACTGATTTTTAACAGGAAGAAACCTCTGGCAGATCCGGGCTCAGGGAGGATAGCCATCTGCCTCGGCTCGCTGGGGTGAGAGGAAAGAGAAGGCAAAATATAACAATAAACAGTGTGTATGGTGGGGGGCCCCCGACTGCAGATAAAAAGCAATGCAGCTCAAGGGCCAGAGACAGAGGAAACAGAGGAAAAGACACAAAGTCAGTGCCGTGCAATACTGGCATACAAATGCATAGAAAGTAACAGGGTAACAAAAGGATGATTCAGGGTCACCTTAGCCTGCTCTACCTGAAAGCTTTGTCAAACATCAAAGTTTTAAATGTTAATAGTGTGGTGTCTGCCTCCTAAACCCAAACTAGGAGCTGGTTCCACAGAAGAGGAGCTCGAAGCTCTGCCTCACTCTGCCTTTACTTTCACAACTTTAGTAACCTCAGGTAATACTGCACTCTGAAAGCATGCTGTGTCCGTGCAATGATATGCTCTAAATCCAAAGTAAAACTCTTTAAATAAACCCTTCCTGTGCAAATAGTCACATAATTGTTTTCCAACAACCCTTTCAAATGATTTTAGAAATAAAGTATAGCTTGTTCTACCACTACAATTTCCTGGTTTTGCCCTTACATCCAGAATTCAGGCAGTCATTGACTGTGATCCTGGTACAGTTTGATGATAGTACAGTTTTTCTAAAGAAGGCTGTACAGCAGCTGTTTTGACTTTTTCTAACCAGAATAGAATAGAAATCAAAACCATAAGTTTTTGTAAAGGCTGCTAAGAGTCATTGTTGATAATTGTTGAACCTCTATGAAGTAGCCACACATGCACATGAAAAACTTTTTGACCTCTTTTAGCCCTAAGGAAGAGATTACTACATATTAATTTTAATTCCTAATTGCTTCATCACATATTTGAATGGAAATGCTTTAAAAATAAAGCAGCCAATATGTTCATATTCAAGTCTTGAGCTGCCCCTAATTTCTTTATATTTTGATAGAAAAAAGGAAAATTGGTGCAGTGATATACTGTTTTGCCTGTTTAAAGTTTAAAGTCATTATTTCTATCACCACTTTTATCTTAAGTAGTTTTCACGACAGTGTGTGGGGGGGGGTATGATATTAAGAATGGCTTCTTGCCCTCTTAGATCCTAACACAATACAGAGAAAAGCCTAATTATCAGATGGACCCCCCCCCCCCCCCCCCCCCCCCCCCCCCATGAGCATGCATTGGTGACAGTGGGAAGAAAAATCTCAATTTTAACAGGAAGAAGCTTCCAGCAGAACCACGCTCAGGTTGGGAAGCTGCCATGACCAGTTGGGGGTGAGTGAAGGGAGACGGGACAAAACTGTGGAAACAAATATGTTTTTGCTAACAGTTGAAATAAGAATAATATTATGTGTCATTCAATGATAACTAAACATGTTACACTGTTTTTGAAATATTTATATGCTTTAAAAAGAATATAAATTTAATTGTCAAACTACACTAAGGTAATCCAACAAAGGGGGAAAAAAACACATCACACAAAAAGTTTCATTGTATTTTAAAAACTGGCTATTTTAAATATCCAGTTTAAAATAAATAAATGAAAAAATATGTAAGGCTATTGATATCTGTGACCTAAAAAATAAGAAGCTTTTGACAAAATTCTGATCAGATTCCTTGGCCAGGGTTCATGCATTTTTAAAATGGTCCTTCTTTCCAGCTCATCATTTAACAGTCTATTGCCTCTGATACTTTCTAAATTCACCACTTGCCAAATAGGCCAATGGCAAAACACTCTTTTCTGAACTCACTTGTTTTCAAAGATGCTCTCCACAGGCAATCATAATTTCACAGAAAGCCACACACATGCATTAGCAGGCACGCCACTTTTAAGAAAGTCACTCAGAACTGTCCAAAAGAAAAAAGAAGAAAAAACCCCAACAAAAGCTTGGAAATCTTGCTGTGTTTTAACATATACTTTATACTTTCCTCTAACATTCACACACATTCAGTTTGGGCTGTGTTAAGTATTGTTTCCTTCTGTTGGCTGTTATGTGACAGTTAATTAAGCCCTTCAGTAACATCCTCAGCTTTGGCACCACAGACAGACGTTACTCACTCTTATCTTCACACAGAACACACACACACACACACACACACACACACACACACACACACACACACACACACACACACAGCTGTATTTCCATCACTTCAGATGGAAATCGTTACACTGATTTTATTAACCTAACTCAAGCCTTTACCTTCAAGTAATCCTCCCTTACACTAACCTTAAAGCAAGTCTTTAAAGTAACACTCAGTGATTATGGTGATTTGCATTTTTTAAATCCCCACAAGCCAACCAGATCACCACAATGTCACACTCTTTTTATGTGGTGTCAAAAAGCTACCGTGTGTCCTCAGAATATATTTAACCTATTTCGACAGGGAGCAAAATGCGCACACACCAACACACACTCATTCA